TCGCAAGGCCGACTACAGACAAGATGAAATCGAGTTTAGAGCTCCAACTTCCACGCTCTGGCAGGGTGATTTTGCTGAGCTGCAAATACAAGAGCAATATTAAGAAAATTCGAAAACTCTAAATTTATATCAAAATACATTCACGTATTATCTATCGTCATCTCATCCATCTGTTTATACCCGTTTCTCTATACGAACAATTGCTTTCATATATTATGCTAAGCATTTATTTACAACTCCAACAAAAAACGGGAAATGCCAATTAGTATAAATAATATTTCAGTGCCAAAGCTGTGCACTGATTTTTTTGTTCTTTTTTTTCTTTTCCTCTTATTGTAATGATCAAAACTGTTCATATAAAGGGATGGAATCAGAGCTATGTGCGCAGCTGAAATAGTGAAATTATGTCTCTGTGTGACGTCGAATGTTGCGCGTGTTATTCGGCGTTACACGGCGCTCTTGCTTTTGAGTACTGTGTTAGTCAGTAAGAGAGTGAGCTGGTCTTTATGTAGAATATAAATGATTCTATTAGTTTTCCCTTGCTTTTCGAACATAATCCGAGTATCTTTTAAAAGTTCATTTTATGTAAGCTCAAAGACCATATATGCTAATAGTATTTTAAAATAAATGCTTGATAGCATTTATCGTTGAGTAATTCATTTGCTATAATGATTACAATAAATGAAAGCAGCAACAAAATAAAAAAAATATCTTGTGATAACATATATCAGTAATACATATATACAAATACTGAAATAGCTATGAAATGATGTAGACAAATAAACTTAATTTAAATTTATTTTAAAAATTAATTTAAGCTCTATCAATCAAACAGAATATTTATATATGTATGTATATTATATAGTATAGAACATGTATAAATATTGAAATATAAATTTTCTGATAGTTGCATCAAACTATGTACATTAAAATATTAACCGAAGTATATATTTTATTAAATTATAATTAACTAAATTTTGTTTCTCTGTAATTAACGTACCTGATGGCTTGTTGATGTGGCTGTAGTGTCCGTTGTTGCTGGGGCTGATAAGTCTTTTGGGCACAATAGCTTTCCCATTTCGATGGGATCGTGCTTTTGTCGATCCCCGCCATCGCCATCGTTCCCGCAATTACTAGACATTTTTTCAACTGTCTGCGCCCTATTTGTATTTCGATCTGTCTTCGATGATTATTCGGCGTTTACAAATTTAGACCTGGGAACACACAACAGAGAGGGATTGTAAACAATTAATGGAATCGCGAATCAAATTGAACAAATATTGAATTAGAGTTTCAAATATGATTTGGTATTGAATTATATTCAGTAGTCCATAGGCACTTTTATTGCGTATTGAGTCGGAATCTTTTTTTCTTATCAGTCTATATCACAAGAGAATTTCATAAAGTATGAAAAAAGGATATTATCCATTTGTTTGTATTGGTTTTTTTCTTTTGTGTACTTATACTCAGATCGAGTATGTACAGATTTATTTATTATATAAGCATCACAGCAAAACGAATCTTATTTTTCACGCACCCACGACACCCAACCGGGTCACTGGCTAACATCCAACTGAATCTCTCTCGATCTTCGAGCTCGGGCCAACGCAAATATTCATGAACAAAAGCCCAGTTGATGCCTATTAAAGCAGATATGCCAGTAATTTAAGCGATGCTTATGCGAAGCCAGGCCAAGCTGCCTGTCATTTTTACATACAATTTAATTTAATAATGATTTACTGAGAGGGTTCTGACCGCTGCCAATGGCTACCTAGAAAACGCGGGCAGCCCATCTACTGCATGCGATATAGGTCCGATCCCAATTGGATTCACCCTACCCGACTAACACTCTGATCATTTGCTTACACTTCATATGCCATTTACTATATATGTAGTACACACAAAAGGGGTCCCAAATACTATTTTTCATCCACTCTTTTCTGCCGTTGAAAACTGTAAATATTTTATAACATACTGAAAGCTGTAAAGCAATAAATGGAATTGAATGCATACAAATATATTTATTAACAAATATAAATAAATAAGTAAAAATGTATGGCATATATGTATATCTGCACATTTAATATAAAATGTATAAATTTATTATTAAATAAACTAGCATTCATTTCGAATCGGTTCTCTACATACTATGCTTAAAATTCTATCTCAGAAATTTGTATTTAAATCGATATATTTGAATATTAATAATAAATATTACAATTTCAATAGCTATGTTTATATAAAAAATATATATTCTTAATAATGTTTACATCAATTTTCTTGGATGTAGAACAAATCATCATAAGAGAGTATGTTGCTCCTATTATATAAATACTACGTTTGAGCATATAATATACTCTCTTGACTGCTCCTATTGTTGCAAAAGGGGCACGCTTGTTATCTTGGCTCTTGAATCTCGCCTTTGCGTGCTGGAAATTTGCATAATTCTATTTATAAGAGTCTCCAAGTAGCGAGACTACGCAACTGTTGTGCTATTTAGTATTTTGTGTTTGTGTATTTTTTGAGAACGAGTCTTCAAGTAGCATTAGATTGATTACTTTTATACCTTCTGACTATTTCAAGACTGCTTTTAAAATGTTGTCATCTACTTTCCTACTTGTTTTTTTTTTTTTTTTTTTGGATTGAAGTTCGTCAATATGTATTACCATTGTGTCGGATTGCATTACTGCTTAACATAGAGTTTCTACTTTTACTTTACAGATAATATATCTTAGAAAATATATACATATATTTCTTAAAAATAATTATATTATAATAATTATATTTATAAAATACAATTATAATATATTAATTATATTTATGCATAGCATTCATTGGGACTATGTTCTACTTTCATCTGTGAGTGAAGAGCAACTATTCTATGTTCAGATTTTACTCATATTTAAACAAAAAACTGTATTTGTTAGAGCTCATTTCACCTAGAGATTTTTTCAGAGCTGCAAATATTGCCGAACAGATAGCTAATTTAATTACTATTTTATAAAAATATATTTTAAGTATAACTCTAATAAACTTTATATAATATACCTATACTTTCCCAATATTATGTACTTACAATTTTTTATTTCAATTTAATTCATTCAATTTAATTCAATTTAATATTTAATTCAATTATCATTTACTTAACTTGATTGCTTTAAGGTAATATTCGATTTTTGCTTGCAGTAATCAACCATTTGAATGTAAATAAACTAAATGTATTTAAAGATAATTTATATTCATATGTACATCCCTTATGGATAATTATTATGCCTGTGTCATTGAGCCTAGCCTATGCTCTGAATGCTGTTTTTCTCGTTATGAACGCGCCATAAATTTTGATGTTTGTGGTAAATGCTCTTTTTTCATACGCATATTTAGTTTATTTCAAATTTAACTACCCCTCGCAGCCCGACAGACAGAATTTCAAGCACACACATTTGGGCATCAGATGCTCGCTCGGAAATCGGTCATCAAATTTATGTTTTTATACCCTTGCAGAGCGTGCTTTGATTCTATCACGAAATGTGTAACGCACTAAAGGGGTCAACTACGAGGGCCCAACTACTATTCACTATGCTTCTGATTTTGATCAACTCTTTATTCAATACTATTCTCTGACGATCTGCTTTAGATATGGCACTTTGCAAATTAGCCTATTTATTATCATCGACTGTGTTTAAGGGTATTTCACACTTCAGGTCGCCAGTGAATCGGATTTGGTTGCCAAGTAAACCTACGCTCTATCACACATACCTTAATTGCATTGAATAGGGGCACAACAACGCACACAGCTATGCTCGCATTACTTCCACATAGACACATAGATAGATGGATATAATTATTTAATCGTACACACACACATACACACACTCAATTGCTAAGTGGCAAAATATCAACATGTGCGCTCGGAAATGCATAATCTTGTTGCTAACAGGCTCACTTCCGAATTCGATTATGCCCTCGCAACTAAATATGAAATACACACACAAAGCTGATCTAGTTAAGAGCCTAGTTAAGCCTGACTACATGATACCCTGTAAAGAGTCTACATGTCAGCATAATATTTACTCCTTTGAGATATTGTTACTGTAGCTCTCTTAAGTTTTTTTCTCCTTTGATTTCTCACTCTATGTATAAGCAAAGTTTTCTAATATTTTCTAATATCCTACTGTACTCTCCTCATATTGTGTTGTACATATGTTGAAAATAGATTAAATACAAATACGACAAAAAAAAAATATAAATGGAAAATAACTGAAATAGAAATAGAAAATGATTTGCATCCTTAATTATTTAATTCATTTATTTTGTTTATTTGTGATCTGAAAGCCAGCATTTTAATACATAGCTTATCTAGCTATATAAGGAGAATTGACTAATAGAGACTAAAACAATAGAAAGGGAGAATTTGATATATTCACATTATAATTCATAAGCATATCAATATCCAATTTTAGCTGTCTGGCTAGACAGACTATGAATGTTTCCTTGGAAGCTATCTGAACTAGCAGTTGGTAGTAAACAATTCTGTCGAATGATAATAAATAGAATGCATTAAAAATCGAAATGTTGATTTAATTTTAATTTAATAATTAATGTATTTATAGAGTAGATATTGTTCCCTTATAGTATAGATATATGGATGTTGAATTACACAATTATTATTTATTGACTGGCATATGCCATAAAAATAAACACTATCTATGAATCAACAGCTTTTGATCGCAGTATTATTATCCAATAGAATGAAATAGAAAGTAATCTTTATTTATTATCGAAAATTATATAAATTATTATTAGGAGCTCAGAGCTCACTGTTTGTCGAATCATATGCCTACAGGGTATCTGCTGTGTCCAATTGGGACAACAAAATATCTCTTTTAGCTATACAATGGTATTTATTTACCTTATTCCACATAAGCCTTTTCACTCGAAAATATAAACAAAATATGAAGTTTAGCTGCTGATAGAGTTTGATATATTGAACTCGACTCTGTTTTGTATCTCAATCATATCCGAGAGAGTATTCATTTAATTTTCTCTTTTGAGACTCATTTCACTCTCCTCTCGTCCTATACGACTCGGGGAGCCTGAAGTGGCAAACGAGTCAGTCAGTTGGATATTGGAAGTGAGGAATGAAAGATCGATTTTGGCTTCACAAGGCAAGAATATTTTTTCTAATTTGTGCTGATGAATGTAAACAGTCGAATATATATATATGTATATGTGTGTTTATGTTTATACAGTGGTAAACAAATGGAATAAAGTACTTTATTGTGTTTCCTTTCTCATATTTCACTGCGCAGCTAAACAATGGCAAGCGGCTTTGACTTCAACAAATTGTGCTCAACTTTTAGTGAGATCTGCCCGGACTTTGGCGAGACCCATCAAACTGACAAATCGGAGAGCCTGAAGTTTGCCAACAAAGTGCTCTTCGAACTTGGGCCCAAGATGTGGCACATTAAGAAGAGTGGATCAGCCCAAATGTGGCGCTTAATCTTTAATGAGGGCACAAGCGTTTACATCTACACCCACACCTTCCAGCGCCCGGTCAATGTTAATCCGCAGCTGCACGACAAGAAGCTCTATCTTACTCTCAAGCAGGCTGGCCTGTTGGCAGTCAGCAAACTGTGCACCGGGTTGCTCGGTGAATATAACCCAAGAAATAAGGTGCTCTTGACCCCACTGGCTCGCGCTGTCTTTCTGCCACAAAACATTTCGAAAATTGCCGTCGAGCTGACAGAGCTGCTCCAGCGCAGGGTGGACACCAACGAGGTGGTCAGGGCAGTTATCAGCAGCTGCCAGACCGACGGCTTCCACTTGCAGCACAGCCAGTGCCACATTGCACTGGCCGCCCTTGAGGTGACAGTTCCTGCAGCCGTCCAGCGGCAGAAGCTGCGCGAAAAGACCATGCGGCTCTATGCCAAGCATGGCAAGACTTATGACGCGGCTCAGTACGCTATCTACGTCAAGTACTCCAAGCGAAACGACACAGCAGCAGGTGAAGAGCCCTCACAGCCAAGTGCAGACGATCAGAGCCGGTCCAAAGGTGAGAGCATAGACGCCGTCTTATGCAGCATTGTCAGGTCTGCGGATGATCCTCTCAGCGGTGACACACTGGAGATGATATATGAGCAACCTTCAAGCAGCAACCTGGAAAGCGAAATGGCTTCATTCTTATATCTAGAGCCTTTGGAAGACTTTGACTACCTGGACCGGCTTAGCTCACATCTAGAGCCTTTGGAAGACTTTGACTACTTGGACCGGCTTAGCTCATATCTAGAGCCTTTGGAAGACTTTGACTACTTGGACCGGATTAGCAGCCAGATGCTCTCACTGGGAGTTGATGAATTTCTCCAATGAACAATATTCATAAATCAAATATAATCAATCTTAAAATATATATTTTTCTTATTCAATGCCTCTAATAATTTCAAAAACTATACAATTATCCAAGATGTCAAAGGGTTGTCAATATGTACAGAAATCGCGTTGCCTAACTAAATGCCCCCATTTTTATTATATTTCGAAATGTCAATAAATTTGTTATATTCTCAAAAACCCATAATCACTATGATCGATCGATTGGCATCGGAAGGACACACTCATCTCTTCCTTCTGTGTGCAGGCACAATATGCGCATAGCTCGAATCGGACGTGACCTCGAGACTTGAGGAGACGAGCGAGCTATGTTTCTCCCGCTGGGAACTGAGCAACTGTATCACTCCATCGACGATTTCGTCCAAGCTTACGGGCCGATTGTAGGACAACAGCACCGCCGATATTATCGGCATCAGTATGACATTATAGTCCGGCTCCATTAAGGGGTTTGGCTTAGCACGATTTTTGATCATATCTAAAATGCACAATTTGTTGTTGATTTGTTGATTTAGTTCTCAAAATGGATTTCTGTGTATGAGTGTGTCAGTCTGAGCTCTGTCACATATCAGCCATAACAGACGACTTGATCGGGCTGACAGCTAAGCCCCAGCCAGCTCCAAGTCACATCCGAATCCACATCCATAACTCAATCCTAAGCACTTGTCTGGTCACCGGTTGTTGAATTTCCGCCCTCTCCTGTCACCCCTTGTGCCGTCCGGGGCCAATGAAAAATTCAATTTGAAAAAGTGTCACTTGTCAGCTGGCGATATATGTGTAAGCCCCACCTCCCCCCCTACTCGCTGTCCATTATGCCATTCCCTTTGTTGTCGCTGCTATTTTGCTATTCCATTTTGTGTTTTGCTTTTTTGGCATTCCGAAATATCAATACTACGGATATGCGACAAGCATTTCATATGCAAATTGATCAGAGCCCACAGCTCGGCGACTCAATAACCAGGAGCCACCCACACACGCATATGCAAATGCGTAGCTCCATCCTGGACCGCACTTTCTGCAGAGTTCCCAGTAGAAAATACTTTTTATGACTACCATTTAACTGTCTTGTATTTTTCAGCGCTTATCAGGCTTAATACAATATTCTACACTTTTCCCTGACCACTAAATAAAGAACAACAACAAAATGATTGCAACTCTTTATACAGAGAACACACTGTGTTACTAATTGTATTTTAAACTATTACTATATACTATACTATACTGTTATAGTAACTTATTGATATAATTTTTGTTATATAATCTTTACAATGTGTATGTAAATGAAGATTAATTTATTAGCTAGTATGACTGTATTTAAATTCCCAAAGAACAAAGTTGCTACTGCTTGATGACATTATTATAAATTATTTTATATATGTACTATGCTTGCGTAAAGTAGTATTTCTAATAGTAAGCTGTTCATATTATTATATGAGTCAGACAAATACATACAGCTGTGAAAAACAAATTAGCACCACTTGCAAATGCAAAGTTTAAGAAGTTCTCCTCGATACATTTATCAGTGTATTGATCTGCCTATTTTTTATATAAGCAAAAATAATTGCAACAAATAACAATATTATAAAAGTATTCAACGGTTTTATACATTTCAAAAAATGCTTTTATTTTTCACAGCTGTATGTGTAAGTATACGCCCATCGTCTCTGAATAGGCTGGAGGAGTAGTCGACTTTGAAATACTTTATTTATTTATTTATTATACATTGAGTTAATATTTATAAACTTATTAAAATATTCAGCACTGGCACCTGGGGCCTTCAGCTTGGAACGTTCAAGCTGATTTCAACCAGCACCTAAAAAAAAACTTTGGGAACCTATAAAATCTAAACTTAAAAACATAATTCCTTAAACTATAATTGTTGAACGAAAAACCTAACTCAAACTAAATTTAATTTACACTTTTAGTCTATTTTATTATTTTCTAGTCAATTTTCTACACCTAAAAAGTTTTTTTTTTTTTTTAAACATAGATATTAAAAAGTTAAAAAATTTAATCATAATTGTTCAGTTTCTTTAATAGGAAAACGAAATCCAACTAATTCGATTTTGTTATATTTTAATTTAATTTTTTGTAATTATCCATTCATATTTTATTTTATTTTTAGCTTACGTTATATAATTTCATTCATTAATTGCAACATTTCTGTACAACTTTTTGCATACAACAACAAATTATACATATAATATTTTATATGGTTTGGGTGCTTTATCGTGTATCGAATCGCTCGAACTACTGCAGTCTGCAGCCCTGGCGAGACTCTTCACGTACTCACACATACACAGATACGCGGCGGGATCGAATATCGTCTCTTTACTCATTACTTGACCGATTTTGATTTTTGTTTTGCGCCGCACTCGGGCAAACTTCAGTTCGTGATTATAAGCAAAGGCATAAGCATTGGGATATCGGACGTCCCGCTGTCGGTCTTTAGAAGAACAAAAGAAATGTAAACAAAGATTACAATTTCAATATATTTCAATTCGTTACAGATATATAACTGATTCGAAGTGCTATGTACATATATTTAGTAAACATACATATGTATGTATGTAATATACATATATATATATATATATATATATATGGATAATGTGTAATGCGAGTATATGCATATTTTATCTGAATATGGTACATGTGTGAGTGTAGTTTGTTTAAAAGAGAAAAAAATGCAGATTACTTAAACTTATATTGTGAAAATAGCGTGGAAATATTCATTCCTTAAAGAGATTTCCACGACAACCTTCAGTGTGTCAGTAGAAATACTGTATGTAGTTTCGGAACTCGAGCTTAGCTGGAAAACATACAAATACTCACACATAAGCTCATATGCATTTGTAAACAAGCACACAACGTCGCACAACTAGCAAGATTTCTGTTGATGTACGATGTAGGCAGTTTTGATGGACATACATATATATATATATATATATATAGAGAGAGAGAGATTCCTCCGACCCAGCGAACTATTGAGAACTGCGCAAGAAGAGCAGTTTTATTTATAATGACTAGTAGTCTCATCTAATTAGGTTATTTTATACCTTTTTTATAGAGTGAAAATCAGTTGAATGTGTCCTTTATTGTTATTATTTAATGTGAGAAGATATAGAATTCGTTTACGTTCTCTCCTATTGCTTTCTTTTCTTCAAGCATAAATTCTTCACTAGAAACATAATATAAGGAAAAACTCAATATTATATAATGTGAAGTTCTATATTTCCTTGCAGAAAATGAGTGAAACCGCCAAGCCAAAATTTATTTTTGATTTTCAAAAATTAATCAAAACTTTCACTGAGATCTGTCCGGACTTCTGTGCCGAGCCGAGCTATGCGAATGCCACAGTGAGTCGCCGGTTCGCCGAGCAGGTGATCTTCGAGTACAGCAAGGAGGCCAAAGAGGCCAAAGCGAAGAACCTCGATGAGATTCAGAGAATGTCGCTGCAGACAAAGAACGCCCAGGGTTACTTAATAAAGAACAGGGTGACCATAGTGCTGCACACCCGAAATCCGGCACCGCCGAATCAACCCAGCCTGGTAGACGGCAATCTAGAGCTGACCTTCAAGCAGGCCAGTCTGCTGGCCGTGGCCAAGTACTGCCAGCTGGTGCCGCATCTGGTGCAGCGCGATGAGATTGTGCTCACTCCGCTGGCCGGGGCGGTGTTCGCCAAGGAGGATATGCCGCAGCTGGCCAGAGTACTGAACGAGCCGCTGGCCGAGCTGGTGATGGCCATCATCAGCAGCTGCCAGACGGATGGCTACTATCTGGAGCACAGCCGCTGCGAGATCGCACTTGCAGCCCTCATCAAGACGGTGAGCGATCTGAAGATGCGAGCTTCGCTCGTCAAGAAGACCATCAAGATGTACAAGCTCTATGGCAAGGAGTTCGACATGCGCAGGTTCCAAATATGCATCAGGTTTCTCAAACCCAATAGCAGTTCGAATCGCTCGAGCAATGATATCGAGCAGATTTGTTCCAGTGTCATGGCAATCGATCTGAAAGCCGACTCAAAGCCTGTGCGTCCCATGCCGAAGCCCAAGATGACGTGCGCCGCGAACTTCAGCGGTAAAACTCTGCAAAGCAACAAAAAATGAAACTTTGTCTACTTTTCTTAATATGGTACTTATTGCGCGGAAAAAAATTTAAAGGGAAAACTGATTTAGACACTCGCTTGTTTCTTATGCCACTACTTTATCAATCTTGAAATTGGATAACCCAATTCAAGACCTTACTAAATCAGGATTGAACTCCCTTACAAAAATCAGTTTATGTTTGTTATTCAACTTTCCTTTGACACAAGCGTATGAAAAAAAAAAAAAAATTAAAAAGCTTAAAAATGGTATATATGTATGTACCCTATAAAATAAATACTTAAACTACATTATATCAAACTGTATCTTTCATAATATTCAATAAATATTTTCTTCATCTTTTCATAAAGTTGTTTACTGATTTCTTAGAGTTTTTAATGAACTCGATTTTTATATAGATCTTAATTTTATAGTTCAATTTATTAAAAGTGCTTGTGATATGAAAAAAATCTTTTAAGGGTGCAAGGAGTAGAAAAATCTAATGTGACAAGCTAATTCTAATGAGAATTAATAAAATATTAGATGAGATTTTTTCTAGTGATTTTTGCCAGATATTCTCAGATGTTTCACATGATTTTTTAGATAGGTTAGGTCTACAAAATAAATAAATTTAAAATCGTTTTCAAGCAAAACACATCCAATTAGTATAAACTTAAACTAACTGATGGCCGTACAACGCCTTAGCCATTGCCGTGAATCAATGAGTTAGGAGTTTGAGCTTTAAGTTAGCTTTATTGATCGTATTTCTGACTGGGATGGCAGAGCTTATTGTAAGATTTAAGTTGCTTGTTTGTGGTGTTGTCTGGTTAAAGTTTTGCTTTTCCGTTTTGTTGTTGTGGCGACGACAAAGCCTTGTGGAGATTATGCCTTGACTAGTCCAGGGGAGAAGTGGTATTGGTTAGACCCTTTTGTGGTTTCTGCGTCGCAGGCAAAACTTTGGCACTAAACGTACCGACGCTGAAAAGCCTTTAAGTTGCGTGGGATATCTCAGGAATATCTAAGGCAAAATGATAAGCGGCAAGGGACCAATATAAAAAAAAAAATACAATATATAAAATGAAAAAAAGGAAAGTATGTCGCCCTTTCTTCTGCCTCTGGCGCCCTGTGAAAAGGGGACTCCCAATAATTATTAAAATATTATCATTACTTTAATAGACTGTTGGGCTAATTAATTTAAAAGTGTAAACGATTTATTTTTCCTTTTTTTCCAGGGACCGCAACGATTATAATTTTTATAGCAAAAAATTAAAAATTAATTATTATTTTTTTATAAATTAAAAAAATATATATTTTTCTCCACACTGTGATTTGAAATTTACTTCAGAGAAGTAAAATAAAATAAAATCTATTATTCAATTGTAGAAAAAAGTGGCCTTCTAATAATATTAATAATAATTCCTCACTCAGATAAACAGCCACGTGATATTATGCATAAATATATAATCGACATTTCTGCCTGAGCATTTACTTGTCTTTCAAATTTAACGCTCAAGATCCGCTTACTAATCGAAATCAGCAAGACAGAAGCACAAGAGCGATTCAGTGTTGGAAAACGTGTTGAACTATCGATGCCAATCAACCCTGGGCATAAATTAGCGGCAAAAGAAGCATCAAAATACACAATCAAAACATAAGTGAAATTAATGCGCTGATATTTATTTACTACCAATGGAATCCATAAATTTTAACGATTTCTCCGTCAAGGAACGTCACGAGATAATCACGGCGTTCCTCATCAAAATGCGCAAAGCCAATTCGATGCACAGCGCGCACAGTTTCTTTCAATATTACCTCAAGCAATTTTACAAGATGCCAACCAAACTACTCGACGACATAATCTATTGCCAGCGCGCTATGAAAAACTATCTTTCCGTACATCAGGTACTCTTTGTTAGCGCACGATTTGACTAATCATAATAGATTTTCACATTATGTTCTCTAATTTTTGCAGACAATCACAAATGTCTTTGCCGGGCAAGCAGACGCCGTAAGTTGTTATTGTTGTTGTTATACCCTGGAACAACAAGTATAGAGCTTAGGATATAATAGTTTTTCAAAATAATTCTGAAACTTCGAAGACGACGGGACTGATCCTTCCATGAGAGTGCATTAATCTCGAAAACTTTAAAATCTAGAGAATTAGAGATTTTATTTTTGTATATAGTCCACAGTACAATTTCTAACTTATCTACGTTATATCAATTGTACAATATCTTTATATCGATACTCGCACATGCACAAGTTCCGGGGTATCTACTAACCGGTCACACCCGATTAGAACACGCCAGTTTCAAGTTCTTATGTTTTCCATTATTTTGAAGGATCCCGAGACTAAAAACAATTACCTACTCGAAATCGAAGACACTGTGCATCAGATCAATGCAGAGTGCCAATTTTTGATGATTCGTCTAGAAGAGGACATCGAGAACTTCTGTTTACCCTTCACGGAGCAACAGCTGCAGCCCAACAGCGATTTGATCAGCGAAATGGTCAGTGAAGCTATTGTCCCGTTGGTCTGCACCAAGAGCCTGTTGCCCTTCAAGCCGCATACCGTCACAGAGCGGCCCACAGAGAACCAATTGCTTCGCAAATACTTCACCATCGACGCAGACAAGAAGAACTCGTTAGGCACCAAAACGGAGGTCACAAAGCCCACAAAATCGACAACTAGCGGCAGAAAGAAAAGCGCTGTGAATGCAGTTGCTGTTGCCGCTCCCTCTGCTGGTGCTCCAGCCGCTCCCCCTGCTCGTGCTCCAGCTGCTCCCCCTTCTCGTGCTGCAGCTCCTCCAGCTGTTGCTCCGCCTAAATCAAGCAGCAAACAAGCAACAAAGACAACGCCATCTGAGGATGCCAGCAAGAGCGATGCAGTGAATGCCAGTCGCCTTCATTTGCAGGCGGCTCTGGAGCGAGCGCGCCTCAAGAAGCAGCAGGTAAACAGCGAAGCCAAAGCACAAAGTCCAAAGGAATCGTTTCTGCAGTCCTTTGGGCTTTGCACACAGCTGGAGCACAAGCGTATGCTCCTGGCCCAGGCGCTGAGTCACAAGCGTGTTCGAAAGCCCATACAGAATTAGTTAACTCGATTACAAGTAGAATTAGAAGTACAATTATTATGTTTGATAAAGTTTATAATGTTAGACAGTTATATCCGAAATTAGAAACTGTTAAGTACTTGACCCAAGCTTTATGCTTTAATTAATCCTAGTTAAACATTTTGAAATATGTGTTCTTATGTTAATCTATAGTAATTTTCTTAATTTACAATTGTCAGCCAATACACAATATCTAAACGTAGTTAAGCCATGGAATATTTACATTCTCTTATTTTATAATTGTGTATTAATGACGAAAAAATAAATCACATTTTATTTTGTAAGAATTCTGTTTTATAACCCTGCCGGAAGGGGAAAGTCAGAGAGAAACAACATTTCATGGCATTATTCGGGGAGAAGGTTTTCTCTTGTCTAAGACGAACAAAGCAACGTGAAAGGACAATAGCGCCTAATAGCCCGTTGATGGCGTTGCCTGAGGTGCCGGAACAGTTGAACGTACGGGCAACAGTGCTTCGCTCATTTATCATTTACACACCAACGCACGTTGGCGCACAGATGAACAATACCAGATACACAGATGCGCAGCGAAAGAGCTTTGGGTCAGGTTATTTTCTTTCTTTTTTACTGTGGAAATATACTGCGCCTATTTGCACTATATATAGAACCATAGACTCGCAATGTTATAAGTGTGTACCGAACTGGACCGAAGACCATTTGATACAGCCACCTATAACCTGCAGCAACTCCAGCTCCAACTCCAACACCAACACCAACCTATACCCCACCATTACATTTGCATTGATGTAATCAGCTTGTGGCCGGGTCGTCAAATTGCTTGAAAAAATGCCAAGCAACATTCCGCTGAATTGCTGTGCGGCAACAGCAGGGGAAGAGTCATCCGCCTCCAATCAACCACCCACTCAACCCTCATCGCTGTTATATTGCGTTACAAATTGTTTGTTTTCTTTCGCAACCCTTTTAATTTTGTGGCAGGTAAATCCGTATCACGTAAATGGAGTAATACAATAAAATAGATTGAACGGCTTTTGTGCTGCCCAAACAATTTTTGCTCACAGGTCATAAAAGAAAAAGAAAAAGAAATTTAAGATTAAGCAATTTGTCAATATTAATGTATTAATTGGTACAATTAATTTATTTTGTTCGATTATTTTTTATTTCAAATACCGATAAACGATAACTTCGTAACAACTTTGCGCGCTTGCAGCCAGGGCTGGGTAAATCGTCAATGTTGCTCTGTTATTGAATAACCGAACAGCTGTTCGCAGGACTTGGGCAAAGAAGTTTTGTGTAACTTTCTTTTGCAAAACAATGGTTATTCAATATCGTGGCGAACTAATTCTACAAATTTTAAGGCGATGCCATCGTGCAGGTATGTACGTAGCTATTTACAAATAAACAATGAACAGATTTATTATTTTTTATTGCTTCGACCTAGTTGCGGCAACCAAAAGCAGCGCCGGCTTAACAAGTTTTCATGGCGTCTGGCCATCAGCGGAGAGGAAAGACTTTGAGCAGGACATGCGTATCGTGCCAGATTTCATAAGCGAGGCCGAGGAGAAGCAGCTGCATGAGGAAATTGAGCCATACATGAGCCGACTGCGCTATGAGTTTGATCACTGGGACGATGTGAGTATTGGCAGATGATCCAAACACTTTTGCTCTTGTTAAGCTAACTCTCGTGTAGGCGATTCATGGCTTTCGGGAGACAGAGCGCAAGAAATGGTATCCCAAAAATCGTGAGCTCTTGGAGCGTGTGCGTGAGGTGGCGTTCAATGGCGCCATCATGCCCTACGTGCACATTTTGGATCTAGCCGCCGACGGCGTCATCAAGCCACATGTGGACAGCGTCCGCGTAAGTCCGTCGGGTAATCACATAGGAATACCTTAATTAATAGTATATCTCTATGATAGTACTGCGGCAACACCATCTCCGGCATAAGTTTGCTCAGCGACAGTGTGATGCGTCTGGTTCGCATTGATCCTCAGAAGTATCAGCAGAACGGTTCCAGTGATAGCGCCGAGGACACCGCGTATCGGCAGCAGCCAGCGGCGTTGCTAGAGAACAACTTCTATGCGGATCTCCTGTTGCCGCGTCGTTCGCTCTACATAATGAGCCACACAGCGCGCTATAATTTCACACATGAAATCCTCGCCAACGAGCATTCCAAGTTCCTTGGCAACCCCGTTCCGAAAACACGCCGTATTTCCATCATTTGCCGCAATGAACCTTGAACAAAAGTTAAACTAAATCAAAATTATATTGTTGATTTTATAAAAGTTTATATAAATATTTTAAGAACTGTTTCCTTATATACAATTGTTTATAAAAGTTGTTCGAAAACTGTCAAATTTGTTTATTTAAAATTTGCTTATTCCGATTATGCGATTATGGGACGAGAGATTTCTTGATGTCGATATATTTGCTTTAGAAATTGATGAAATCCCTTTGTCAATAAATGTCTGTGTCAATATTTTCAGCGCCCTGGCATTGTCTGATAAGCAGACATGGCGATTTGCAAATGATGCCATTCATATTCTAGATAACTCGGCTGTGAGTTTCTTCCGGTTATGACAATCATTCATGACTTCTTTGTGTGGTATGCTAAGAATTGGCAGGAAGGCTTTGCGCCCATTCCTCAGCCAGAAACTCTCTTTACATAGGGGAAAAAACTCACTCTCTTTCGTTCTCTTGCGCTGTTACTTTACCAATGCCATCCACATAACTGTTAATTCAACTGCGAAGCTTAACGGATTAAATAGTAAATACTATGCTCGTAGTAGCAAATAGTAAATAGTAAATAGTAAGTAATATAAAGTAGTATAAAAATAAAATAAATTTGTTTAAAGAATTTAAAAAATATAAATAATTATTACTAGAAATAAAAAAATATAATATAATACAAAATAAATATCAAAAAGTATGATATAGAAAAGATGAATAAAAATTGTAAAATATAAAAATATAAATAATTTAAAATAAAAAAATATAGACACAAAATAATAATAAAAAAAAAAAAAACATAATATACATAAATAATTTAAATTAATTCAACTGTAAATAGTAAATAATATAAAGTACTATAAAAATAAAATAATTAAAAAAAAAAAAATAATATACAAAATACAAATAATTATTACTATAAATATAAAAATATAATAAAATACAAAATAAATAAAAGAAATATCAAGAAGTATAATATAGAAAAGATTAATAAAAATTTTAAAATAATATAGAAGTATAAATAATTAAAAATAGAAAAATATATACACATAATAAAAAAAATAATAATATACATAAATAATATAATATATATAAATATAAAAAAAAATAAAAAAAGTAAAATTTGTTATTTGGATAGATCACATCTTAAAAAGATCTTATAAGAAACAATTGAATTACTTGAAGGTGTAAAACTATAACTTTTAAATGGTTTTTAACATTTCATTAGAAATAAGTTTGTCTCGATAAAAATTAAATATTCAGTTGTAGAACATTGTCAAGTTCTCCAAAATATTTTGAATACATTGAAAATTCTGATATTGTGATCTTCATCTTTTGATATGATTTAAAATGTTGCCTGGATGGTTGAAAGGACATTGTAAGGACCCACAAACTTTTTTGTATTGAAAACAAAACTGTTGAAATACACCTGAGCGTCAAGCAGCTGCAGGTGAGTCTATAAAAAGGCCATCAACAGTTAGTGCTGCGACTGCGAGCAGAGGCACAAAGCTGAAAAGTCGCCCGATTGGCCAAGCCCCCAACTGGGGGCAGCCCCAAATCAAATGGCAGCTGAAAACTTTGTACAAATTATAAACACTTAAACAGTTTGCAACTGGGGCGACGTTCTCAAGTGGAACCCAGCGAAAATAAAAAAGGGACAAAATATTGTCTAACTTTTGTTTGGGTCTCCGTTATTTCGGCGATTCGACTGTTATTATTATTTGCATGGCCAACCGCACTGCCATTCAGGCCGGGCCATCCACTCAGAGCAATCTCGATACTCCATTGTGAGCTCGCAAAGTTGCACAATTCAGATTTTTCTCTCTCTTTCCTCTTTTTCTGCGACAGTTTTGGTTTGTTGGGATCAAAAGCCGAAACGAATGGCTAGGAAGTGGCCTAATGGCGCAGAGAAGTTGGCCCAAAGTGCTTCTGGGCCTAAATGCAAATGTGTTGAAGCTTTTTGAACTGCATTTTAATCCGAGGTTTTTGTGAGTTTTTCGAAAAATATTCATTATAATTATTTATCATGAACGGCTTACTAAAATGTTAAAGCAAAATTACAAATTAGTTTATGCCAAGCTAATCAAAAGTTAAAGGCATATATTGGTTTTGTGCAGTATTTGACTATTCAATCTAGAGATTTTGAATTTTTAATACATGTATACTCAAGACTGATCTAAATTGGAAAATAAATGATATATATATATGGTGTAAGATGGATGTATACGTATATACACATTAATAATAGGTACTTTCTTCTTTTAATTCAGGAGATCAATATTACTAAAACAATGAGTGATACAAAATATATATATATCTATCCCGCTTTTATAGACCTGGTTAGACGACAGATAGATTTAATTTTATAAAATGCACAGAAATGATAATATTCAATAATGCTATAGATAAACTATTACATTACCTCTTACTTCCAACCTGATTAAGTTGCAGCAGTATTTTATTTATAGAGGTATTATATCACTCTTACTTACTACTTCGTCATAGAACCTAAAACTTTAAATAACACCTGCAAAAATATTATAGAAAATCACAAAAGAGAGAAGAAGAAACACATGGAACAGAGTTTTTGTTGAAATCTTTCTGTTTTGATTTATTAAGCTGCACACATAGTTCCCGCATGCTTCAAATACATGTTCAAAGCGTGCATTTGTTTTGAATCCTTAATTTTATTATTGGGCTTTGGAGAATTTTGAAAGGATTAAACTAAAACTGTTAACAAACATTTAGAGATAAGAGTACATATATGATTAGCTAAGTATTTTGATAAAGTCTGTTCCGGTTGGGTCTCCTGGGAAAAGTCCACTAGAATTACAAAATTTGCATATTGAAATCGAGAGAGCTTTTCCGATCATGTGCGAAATTATTGTGGCCTTTAAAAGTACGTACATTGGACATGTATATATAAAAAAATATATAATATGTGTATATATATTTGTATATAGGATACTTAAAATGAAACAAGCAAGTATTTAACGTAACCTCAGCTCCTAAAAAACGTCCATATACCAAAGCAGTCTACGTTATTTGTTTGAGTTGGCATATTTGTAATGAATATCTTAA